TGGGGCTGGGGGGCTCCCCCCGTTCCCCCAGCCATTCACACGGGGGAAACAGCAAGAGGAAAGCCTTCACTGCTATGGCAACTGGCCGCAGCGCCGGCGGAAACAATCGTTGGCGCCATGCCATTTATAGTCAAAAAACACAAAGGGCCGGCGTCCTGGAAGGAAGCAGGAGGCAGGCAGCCGGAGGGACGGGGAGCAGCATGGCCGGGGGGCTGCTGCCCACCCCCAGGCCCCCAGGGGGAGCGGCATCGCCTTCCCTGCTGCCTGCCCGGCACTGCCAGACCCAGCTCCCAGCAGCAGTGGTGGCTCAGTCCCCAAGCAGCCACCGGGACCAGCCGAGGGATACCGGGTGGATCAAGGCAGGTTTCGATTTCTCCAGCTCACGTTGCTTTAATTAGGTTATTATAAACGGGCTCTTTTAAGCAAATTAGGCTTGCGCTAATTAAGGCCTTTGCAGCCCCATAATCTGGTGAAAGCCAGATTACAGTTCGCAAGGCCACGGGGATCCTCAGCTCCGATGGCAGCGCGGCCGCTCGCCAGCTCCCGGGAAGCCCTCCGGCATGCCAGGGCATAGCTGGAGCCGTGGGTGCCCCGGGACCCTGCTGCGGGTGCAAGGGCGGGGGGGCCGGCATGCCGCCGCCGCCTCTGAGCAGCTCGAAAACAGCCGGAAACACACGCGGCCTCCGGCTGACAAAAAAACAGGAAACACCGTGGCAGGGCCGCGCGCGGCACTGGCAGCACTCGGACCTCACGCCCAGCCCCGGGGTGCCGGCGAGCTCCCGCCCCGGCACTCTGAGTTCCGGGCGCCCCAAGGGGCTGCAGAGGAGGAGGCTGGGGGCTGCTGCAGAGGGCTGGTGCATGGGCAGCCTGCGTGCCAGGCATGGCACGGGGCTCCTCATCCCCAGGGTGCCCTGTGCCGGCGGCACCACGGGTGGAGCACCATCCCTGCAGGGATGGACGGGGCATCGGCTATTGCACCAGCACCTCCGCAGGGCCAGAGAAAGGCTGGAGCAACAGCTCAAGGGGGCTCCTAATTAATACCTGTCCAACCCCCGTAACGTGCCAAACGCTCCATAAATGCACTTACGGCGATACTCGATTTGCAGACACTTTGCAGATGTATTTGCTCGAACGGTGCATGGGAGCTGCCAGGCATCTGCCGGGTCTCCCATGCCTCCAAACCAGCACCCACGGCACAGCACAGCACCGCCGGGGAAATGCCGGTACTGGCTGGGGAGCGATGGGGCTGAGTGGGACAGGGGCCAGGGAGGGCGGGTGGGTGCCAGGCAGGAGGAAGCGAAAGCTGTGGGCGCCGGAGGAAAGCGCCGGCAGGAGCTTCTCCAGGGTCGGTGCTTGCCGGGAGCTTTCCTGCAACCTTTTCCCCCAGCGACCTCAGTGCAGAAGAGGGACACGCCAGTGCCAAGCGGGAGGGGACGGCTGGACTGGCACGCAGGGGGACCAAGCAGCTCCCAGGATTGCGGCGAGTCCCAAGGGTGCTCAATCCCTGGCGGGGCCAGCCTTGGTGGGGGTTTCCCAGCACACCACGAGCTCCCCCCAGCCCTGCTTTACCATGAGGGGTCTGGGCAGAGAGGGTAGGAGGGCACCGTGCGAGCTGAACGCAGCCTCAGCCGCACCACCCTCTTCAGCAATCATACTTTAGGTAGATTAACTTATTTATTAAATCCCTTCAGGCATAAACCCAACCAGATGCAGGCAACTTATCTACCTAAACACTAGTTTGCTGGCTAATATGCTAGTATAATGCCAAGTCTTTCCATATAAACTCAGTTAAAAAGCCTTTTGAAAAGCCCCTTGTGCATCCTACTCATCCTGTTCAGACATAAGGGTACCCAGTGCTTTCTTTGGGGCTTTTTCTTTCCTTCATGGCCCCCATGAAGGGCCATGAGGACGGGCAGGACCCCTGGCTGCGCTCACATGGGGGGAGCCATCTCAGGGACGCCAGGGGAGAGCATCCCCCGGGAAAGGGCAGTGGGCACAGAGCAATGGCAGGAGGGGGATGCCCCAGTGCCCCCCTTCCGGGGGACGCAGCACCCCGCCAGACGAGGAAACACCTTTCAAAACATCCGCCTTCCCAGTTCTGCTCCGGCTCAGCCCCAGCGCCAGGCGGGAAGTGGCAGCACCAGCCCCCAAGCCTGGCAATGGGGAACAGCAGCCCCCAGGGGGATTTCCTGTCGCTCAATAAAAGCGACGTGGCCCACGGGGCTTGGATCCAGCCGAGCTGGGGGAAAGGAGCAGGGCTACTCACTAGGCAGCAGAGTCGTTCAGCTGGTACTCTCGGGAGCGGTTAAAACAAGCCTGGACCCCGTTGTCAGCCCACAGCCTCCGGATCACGTTGGCCAGGTCCTCCGGCATGATGCCCTGCTCCTCGGCGGTGCAGGAGAGTGCGAAGAGCTGCCGAGCGTCATCCTGCAGGGAAAAAACAGGACTCGAGCATCGGCACGGGGTTATCAAAGCCCACTCTGCCCCAAAGGACCTGACCGGAGTCCACCATGTCCCACCTGGACAGCAAGGCAGGAGCTCCAACAGTGGATGGGGACAAGACCCAAGGAAAGCAGCGGGACCCCCACCCCTGCACCCATCGGGAGCCCTGCCAGGGTTATGCTTTGGGTCCCCCCATCCTCAGCACCAGGGACAGGAGGTCACAGCCCACCATGGAGCAGAGGGGCTTGGGCAGGGCTACCCTTAATCCTGGTCCAGCTTTGGGTGCATCTGTTTTTGCCACCCAAGGACCCCCCACCCCTGTCAGGCGCAGCAGGAGCAGGAGGGCACCCACCGCTCTGGAGGAGTCTCCAAAGTCAATCTGCAGGTTCCCCATCGCCTTGATGATGGCCATGATGGACTGGATGGTGTTGCTGTAGACCACGGCTTTGTACTGCCGGCACTCCTCCTCCGAGTAGCCATCCTCATGGATAATCCTGGGGCAGGGAAGAGACACAGGCAAGGTCAGCCCTTTGTGGGGCACCCCAGGGTGCTGCCCCCCACCCATGCTCTGCGGCAACACTGATGGGAGCTTTCCCCGGCCGCCATCGGCTTCGTAGCCCGCAGCCGAGGTCTGCATGGTGTCGGCCGCAGCAATGGTGCAGGGACCACTCACTTCATCTGTTTGACGATGGTGCTCTTCCCAGACTCACCGGCACCTGCAGAGAAACGAGAAGGCCGGACAAGCAGTGAGGTGCTGCCCAAAGCCGGGGACCCCCACCCTACTGGGATGCCCCCAGCCCAGGGAGGGAGGGCAGCAGGCGCCTCAGCCATTGGAGAAGAGCTCCCAGCGTTGGCCAGAGCAGATGCTTGGATGGGCACTGGGAATGTCAGGGCCAAGAAAGGGGCAGGAAAAGGGGAGCCTGGGGGGACCTTGCAATAGCTCCCAAGGGGAGAAATGACACCTGCTCTGGGCCAGGAAAATGGCATCAATGCACTGATGTTTGCCCCGTGGTCCCGGCACGCTGCAGCCGAGACAACTGGCAGCCCTGGCTTCGGCTGAGCTTGGGGACCCCCTGCAATGGGGGGCTAAGCCCTGCCCATCACCTGCCATCACAGTTCAGGCAGAGCCTGAGCTTAGCTGCTGCATCCTGCATCCCTGTTGTGCCGGGGGACAATGGAGCGCCAGCCTCGCCACGCGCCCACAGCTGGAGCCGGCAGCGGCCAGGACATGGAGATGCTCGTGCCACCAGGTACGGGCAGGGGGGCGGACACCCAAAGCCGAGCACCCTGGGAACTTGGGAAGAAGCTGCCACCTCCGCCAGCCGGCTCAAGCGCCTCCCAGCGGGATCAGCAGCCCCCAGGTTGCTTTTTAAATAGCGCGCACTTTCCAGCCGGCTGGGGCCCGCGCCCCAGCCAGGCTGCGGAGGCAGCTGACAGGAGGGAAAAA